CCTCGTGCTGACACCAGACCAAGCTGAGACGCTGCAGCGAACAGGGGCCAGTCGCGCGGCCTGGCTCGACCAGATGCAAACTCTGGACAAGGTCGTCATGGACCAGGTCGGGTTTGTGGTCGATGGTCTGGACCACGTCAGTCACTTTACCGATCTCAACGTCCGCGAAGTGTTTGCACGTGAGTTTGACGTGCTGGCGACTGCTCAACAGCAGCTGTTGGGTGCGATCGAGGTGGCGCGACGCAGCCGCGGCCAGTTCAAGAAGGACATCCTCGCCAAGCTCGAGAAGCGAACATCCAAGGATCTGCGGGAGCTTCAATCCCAGCTCCTCGGTGTTTGGAACTACAAGGACGAGCCGAATGCCGTCAACGCCCACGACAAGTGCGCGATGCTCTATCAGATCATCCAGCGCACGACACTGGAGGTGCTGCTGACCAAGGTGACAGACACCATCCTTGTGGCAATGGCCGAGGTCTCCCGTGACAACAACAATGTCGAGCATGTCGACGAAACGAAGGAAGAGCTTCGGCTTGAGCTGACGCAGCTGCGTAAATCGACCGACATGATTGCCAAGCAGATGGAAGCGATGGCCAAGCAGATGGAAGCGATGATGGCGCAGCAAGGCGACATGGCAACACAGCAAGGTGCGATCTTGTCGCTGCTCAGCACCACCGAGTCTCGTAGCGACGGTCTCTCTCCGAGCGCCTCGATGCGTCGCATGACTCGGCTATAACAGCAATTGATGCATACTAGTGTTCTCGTACCCTTTGTGGCAGGTGCGAACCGCGGGATGCGAGCTATGCATCTGCGTCGACTAGTGCTTTCTTCTTGCCTAATGTACCGACTTGTAAGGAACTTGCAGTACAGTCGAGACACTGATAGCTTTAGTTTTTCATCGGCTATCGTTGCTTGAAAACGCTCTTGATCGATCGAACAATCAAAACATAAGAATTTCTTATGCCTTTGAAACCACATACTTGCGAGTCCTTCCACGCGTCGACGTCCCAAACGACCATGCGCTCGGAACGGGTCATCCCCCTGGCCTCGTCGCGCCTCTCCGAGACGGACGTCGAAACGGACGAAAACGATGCATTGACGCACGAGCCGGACGATGCGACCAAGTCCCTGGTGCACTTAGTGTTTGAAGACAAACTCGACCTCGTCCGGGAGCGTCTACGGCAAGGAAACCTCGACAGCGACGAGCTCACAGAAGAGTTCGAGGTGCGTTCGTATAATGTGTGATTTCGCTCTTCAGCATCCATCCTTGCAGGGTGAAAACATTCTGCACTGGGCCATCGCCAACGGTCACGACGAAATCGTGGCCCTCTTGCTACAGCAGCCCGCGATTCAAACGATTTCAGACGTACGTCAATCTTCTCCGAGCCCTACGTACCATTCATGTCGCACCAGTACACAAGACGACCGATGGTCATAGCGATTGCACGCACGCGACTCGACATCCTCCAGTTATTGGTGGCGACAAGCCCGGCTTTGTTGACAGCATCGGCGGTACGTGGTGATGTGGGCCACGCAGCGCAGAAACGACGTGTGCAATAGACGGGGCAAAAGAACGGAGATGATTTGCGCCATCAAGACTCGCTGGCGCACTGCGCCGCTCGCCTCCGCGCCAACTCGGAGCTTGCGTGGCTCATCTCGCAAAATCCACCATTTGCCCACGCGCGCAATGCAGTGCGTAGCGACGACAGAACCGACCTCCTTCACGTCACGTAGGCAGGAAAGACACCATTGCATGCCGCCTGCCGCACACAAAACTTCGGTGGTATCGTGATCCTCCTCGACGCTGGTGCGGACGCGAGCGCCGTCGACAGCGTAGAAATCGTCGGGTTTTCGCGCACTCGACTGATACTGTCTTTTGTAGCAAGGCAACTCGATCGTCCATGACGTCGTCGCAGGACTCGATCCGAATCTGGAAGAGCACCGCTTGTGCCTCGCGAGGCTTCTCGTCCGCTGCTGTCACGTGTCGTTGACGATTCGAAACAAGGTACATGCATCCGTATGCAGCCCATGGCGGAACGAGCACACGGTCTAGGACGGGCAACTCGCGTCTGACCTCACCGAGAGCGACGAGGTGCTGGCCATGTTGGCGCACGAGGCTACGTTTCGATTGCAGTACCCACTGCACTGCATGGCCCGAAGCAACGATACGCGCCGTGTTGAAAGTTGGCTGCAAGAGAGCGTCTCGGCGGACGACGACGCCCCGTCGGCTGCGCTGGCGGTCGAGGACATGGTTGGAACCAGATGAGGTTCTTGGCGAAATGCAAGTGTGTTGATTTGCCGTAGGATGGCAAGACCGTCATGATGCACGCCGCGGAATCGCTTGACAGCACTGTGCCCGCACAAGTATTTGACCTGCTCTTGCCGTACTGCTCCCACGATACCTTGGCGCTCCAAGACAAGGTGCCTGCGAGCGACTTGCTTGAGGCTCCATCCGAGTGTGTAGCGTGGACGGACCATTGTAGAGTGCCTCTTGGAGAAAGGCCTCGTGTGCCATGAGAACGTCAATGGCACCACGAATGCAGCGACCCTACAAGCGCTCCATTCTCTCACGGGAAGGAAGCAATTGGAGCTCGACTACCATCGGAATGTACCGTCGTGTGAGCGCTACTGGGGCAGCATGCATGTGTTGCTGCTTGTAGACGACGCCAATGCGCGAGGGGACACCGCCGCGAACGTGCGCCGGTACCTGCTTGGAGGCGCGCCAAGCAAGCGACACAAACCTCGCCAAGCTTGCCGACGAGAAAAAATGGGGGGAGCTCCAGCACCGACTCCAGGGCGCGCACGATATCGCCACGATCAATGAATTTGATGCCCATGTAAGGGAGACACAAACGATTGTATCTAATGGCGTCTAGGGCTACACCGCGCTGCATTATGTGTGTTATCATGGCCACGACCGGCTTTTGGCACTGCTTTTGCAGCAGTCCAAACTGTGCATTGACATTCGGACGCGCCTCGTACAGACCCCACCACATATCGTTCGTCTCTTCACTCCGTCGAGTTAGACGAATCAAATGGCGATTACTCTCGCCATCAAGAACCAGCACGCTGCGTGCGTGCGCCTTCTCCTTGAAGCTGGTGCGCACCACGGGGTTGGGATGGATTTACCCGCGGTAGACGTCGAGACGCTGTGCTCCTCCTGTCTGGCAACCATAGCGCGCGATAGGCCGTCGTCGAGATCCTCCGTGAAGATGCCAACCCGTGCCAAACCTTGCTGTACGACAGCTGGCTTCTCGAACACAAGTACCCCGAGTATCACCTCGTACGCCTTGTCAGCGTCGACGAGGCACGTGCGTCCATCCAGGTTGACGATGTAGCAAAACCGGTTCTGACCCTAATCACGCACGAGGCAGGCGATGAAGACGGCGCTCTACGTGGCAGCGGAAAAGGCACTGCCCGTGTCTATCATGGAGACCCTTTTGGCGTCTCCGGACGTGGATGTGAATGCGCAGTCGACGGTAGCAAATTCTTGTAGGTTTCCATTACGCCAACAAGGTATGTTGTAGGAAGGAGCGAGTGCACTCATGATAGCCGCCAAGCTCGGCATCTTGAGCCACATTCAGCTACTATTGCAGCACGACGCTGACGTTGATCTCGTTGACGAGGTATTGTCAACGTTACGCCAGTCGCACGA